AAAAGATGATTTATATATAGATATTTTAAGTGTTATATTTTTAAAATATAAAATTAATTTAAAAAAATAAATATAAGTGAAGGCAGGTCAGATTAAACAGGAAAAGATATAAAATTAGTATATGTATCTATATTAGATTAGATGAAATTAAATGTGGTAACTGGTGCGTTTTTAGAAAATTCATAAAAGTAAACAGCCGGCCTAGCCCGACCCCCGACCCGTCTGCAAAACAAAGAACCCAATCGCACCACCGTCTCCACAGTGCTCTTGTTGGCCGACGGCTTTCTTTCTCCTCCTTCCTCCGTCTTCCGCCTCCTGTTCTACCACCGGAGCATCATTCTACACTCTAGCCTTCACCTCCGAAGTTCACAAAATTTAAAGAAAAAGCAATACTATGGATTTCTCAAATCAAAACTCTCCTCAACAATACAACCCTTATATTAACATTAACGACAACAATCCCCTTCAATTCACCATTCGTTTACCCACTTCAAACCCTAACCCTAATTTTGCTTCTACTTCCACACAAATCCCTAATGTCCATTTTTCCAACAGCGATTCTATCTCAAATTCTGACCCTAACTATTCAGTTCCCAATCACTTCTTTTCCCTTTCTATCCCTCGCAAGCGTCGCCGAGGCCGACCACGCAACACGACGCCGTCTGTCAACCAGGTATATAACTTACCAACGTCCTCATTGTTGAATCATTCCAATTTTGATTTTAGCAGCAATGGTCATACTAGTTCAGCAACACTGGGAAACCAAAACCTTGGTACTTCTGATGTATCCGATGAGATCATTGTGATTAATAAAGAGGCTACGGCAGAGGCATTGATTGCGTTGACAGCTGGTTTCCCGGCTGATTCCTTGACTGATGAGGAAATTGATGCTGGGGTTGTTTCTGTAGTGGGTGGCATTGAGCAGGTCAATTATATTTTAGTTAGGAATCATATTATCACGAAATGGCGGGAAGATGTATCGAGATGGGTGTCGAAAGAAATGTTTTTGGACATTATACCGGATCACTGTAAAAGGCTATTGGATACGTCTTATGATTACCTGCTTTCGCATGGTTACATTAATTTTGGGGTTGCACCGGCTGTTAAGGAGAGGATTCCTGCTGAGCATAGTAAGCCGAGTGTAATTGTGATAGGGGCAGGTCTAGCAGGGTTGGCTGCAGCTAGGCAATTGTTGTCATTTGGTTTTAAGGTTACTGTTTTGGAGGGGAGGAAACGTGCAGGTGGGAGGGTATACACGAAGAAGATGGAGGGCGGGAATAGGACTGCCGCTGCAGATTTAGGGGGCAGTGTGCTGACAGGCACACTTGGGAACCCACTTGGGATCTTGGCGCGCCAGCTGTCATACACGCTTCATAAGATCAGAGACAAGTGTCCGCTTTATAGAGTGGATGGAAAACCGGTGGATGCAGATTTAGATCAAAAGGTGGAGATGGCCTTTAATCGGCTCTTGGATAAGGCTGGCAAGCTTAGGCAATTAATGGGGGAAGTTTCTCAGGATGTTTCTCTTGGTGCGGCTTTGGAGACCTTTCGGCAGGTTTATGGGGATGCAGTTACTGAAGAAGAGCTTAGCTTGTTTAATTGGCATCTTGCGAATCTTGAATACGCAAATGCAGGTTTGCTTTCTATGCTTTCTCTTGCATTCTGGGACCAAGATGACCCTTATGACATGGGAGGTGACCATTGCTTCTTGCCGGGAGGAACTGGAAAACTGGTTCAGGCATTGGTTGAGAATGTTCCGATACTTTATGAAAAAACTGTGAATACCATACGTTATGGTAGTGAGGGAGTTCAGGTTGTTGCTGGTGGCCATGTTTATGAGGGCGATATGGCTCTATGCACTGTCCCCCTTGGAGTTTTGAAGAATAGTTCTATCAAGTTTATACCTGAGTTGCCTCAAAGGAAGCTGGATAGCATAAAGCGGTTGGGTTTTGGACTGTTGAATAAAGTTGCAATGCTTTTTCCTCATGTGTTCTGGGGAACTGATCTCGATACCTTCGGACATCTCTCTGATGACTCTAGCAATAGGGGTGAATTTTTTTTATTCTATAGCTATGCAACTGTAGCTGGTGGTGCCCTCTTGATTGCTTTAGTGGCAGGAGAAGCTGCACACAAGTTTGAGACTATGCCTCCAACTGATGCTGTGACAAAGGTTCTTCAAATTCTTAAAGGTAAATCTTTTTTTTTTATTGCCTAATATCAGGACACACCCAGTTTACATGTACTTGTACGTATATTTACTGGTGTACATGCCTTGAAAAGCTGATGTAGTTAAAAGCACTTCCATTTTGGATTATTGCGTCCAGGTATATATGAGCCCCAAGGAGTTGAGGTTCCAGAACCAATCCAAACCGTCTGTACCAGATGGGGCGCTGATCCCTTCAGCTTAGGTGCCTATTCCAATGTTGCCGTAGGCGCATCAGGTGATGACTATGATATTCTGGCAGAAAGTGTAGGAGATGGTAGACTTTTCTTTGCAGGTGAGGCCACTAATAGACGCTATCCAGCAACTATGCATGGAGCACTTCTTAGTGGATTTAGAGAGGCTGCAAATATTTCTCATTCTGTGAGTGTTAGAGCCTTGAGGTCAAAAGTTGAGAAAAACCCACCAAAGGATGCACATTCTTGTGCTTCTCTCCTTGCAGATCTATTCAGGGAGCCAGATTTGGAATTTGGAAGCTTTTCGGTAATTTTTGGCAGAAATAAATCTGATTTTAAATCAACAGCAATCTTAAGGGTGACATTCAGCCCACCAGGAAAGAGAAGTCATGAAGGGCTTAGACCAGATCAACCACACACTAATAAGTTACTCTTTCAGCAGCTTCAGTCCCATTTCAATCAGCAACAGGAGCTTCATGTTTACACATTATTGAGCAGGCGACAAGCACTAGAACTCAGAGAAGTAAGAGGAGGTGACGAAATGAGGTTGCATCATCTTTGTGAGAAGTTTGGTGTTAAATTGGTTGGAAGGAAAGGTCTGGGACCATATGCAGATTCTATTATTGCTTCAATTAAGGCTGAGAGGGGCAATCGTAAGCCTGTATCATTGACCCCGAAACCAGGTGGGTTAACAATTCTTGCATGGATATCTCATGGACTGAAAGTTTTCACCTATTGCAGTTTGTACACTTAAACTGCACCACAATGACTGATGATTTCTGTTTATTTTCCCCTAAAGGTACGTCAAAGTTGAAAGCAGCCTCTTTGAAACAGAGGATGGTTAGGTATGAGCATAAGATTTACAATTTAATTGGTGTTTTCAACACTTAATGTTCTACAACATTATAATTCATGACTCTGAAAGAACTTTCCCTTGCTGGAAACTTTTCAGGAAAGCTAAAATACTGAGTAAGAACAATGGGGCTGGCCTGCTGAATACATTTGGTAGAGCTAAAGCAGATGACAGCAGCAACAGCTCTAACGATCCAGCAAATCTTGATGTGGGCTCTAAATCAGTGGCCACTGGTAATGGCTCTATTACTGAAAATCTGGGCAACAGTGCTAGTGTTTCGAGCAATTGTGTTAGCTCTGCATCTGTCCCAAGCACACTAGTTGAAGTTAAAGTTGAAGACAGTTCTAGTTTTACCTATCCTTTTGTGGAAGGTAGTGCTAGTGTTACATTCCCTCCAGATGCCAATATGGTCTCTAGATCAGTGGGCTACATGGAATCTGACCTACCCCCAATATCAAACATTGGAGGTACAATATTAAACAGTGATGGTGCGTTTATCCATGCTTCTAATTCAGATGTTGGATCTATATTTGTGGAAAGTATCACTGGCTCCTCTACGCTCAGTTTGGATGCTGGGGAAAATTTAGTAACCGATTTCAGCAGCTCTACTCTCGAAAACATATATGAAAATAACATATTTGGATTTGCTCCACCGCCGAGCACAAACTCTGGTAGTTGGTGATTGACAAGGGTAATTGTGGAAGCAGAGAGTAACATGAAAATGGTCTTCCTTCAATGGTAATTCTTTATCAGTACATGTCTTTTTTTCCTGCTGTGAACTTGATCTGTTTTTGCTGATTGTTTCAATACCGTTTCGCAGGTTGAGATTTGATGCAAGTTGAAAGTAGTTGAAAGAAGATTTTCATGGTTACTGTATTACATGTTTCTTTTACTCCTACATCTTCCCTATTTACAGCGAGTAAGATTTTCTTTTGACACTGGTTATTATTCAATCTGATGTTATCATGAAGTAAACTATGTTCTCCTGTATAATTTGAATGTGCTTTTTCTACAGGAACCCAAACGCTGTGAATATTCTGCCTGGGCCTGAATCATTTTCTTTCACTTGCTGATGGCTTTGGGATGCAAACGCCTATACTCCCTTTTTGACATGTTTAGAGCTCAAATACTGCTATCAGTGGTGGTTAATCAACAAGAGTTCACAAGGCAGCTTTTGTTTCTTCTTGTCCTGTTCCACGGAGCTGCCTTGGTGCATCCTTTGAAGGTTGAAGTGTGTGCTCTAGGATGTATTTCAGCTTGCATTTCATCCACGATATTGCTGTGCAAGCTGGAAAACTAATCGAGCAATCTGCTTCCGATCATCCTGCTCAATGCCTGTGGGTTGGGTTTTGCATTGCCTCTTCAGCTAACACGTGTTACTGTGTTGGGAAGTCTCGAGGTAGATTTTTTTTTTTTTTTTTGATATTCTTTTCATTTTTTTTCTTGTAAACAAGTGTACAGAGGACAGAAATGACAAATAGTTTATTCTTTTGTTAACGCAAAATGTATCTGGCAAACCGGAAAAAGCATGTTTTAACTACATCGTTGACCATCTTAGACTAAATTATTCCTCATAGTCCCCCAAGCAATCAATCTCCAGTACTTTTGCTGAAGAAAATAAGGGCACTGGAGATGTACCTTATTGGTTTGGCTCCAAAAGAAAATGAAGGGTTGGAGACCCACAAATAGGATCATCTCAATACAGATATGTGATGCCTAACAGTCTCCCCTTCTTTGCCTCTAAATAAGATCCTGCAAGAAACTCATAGTTCTTTTATTTCCAGTATGCGTAAAGCACAGGAGAAAATCTGACCCTCGCAACTCCTATCTCTTGTTTAAACTATGCTACCTTTTCTCTTTATGTATGTCCACAAGCCCTTTGATACAATGAGAAAGTGTGCCAGAAACAAATACGCTACAGCAGAATTTGAAAGAACGTCAAAACAAGTCAAAACAATCTGACATTCTAAAGTATCCTTTCAACCCCTTCAATGTAGCAAAGACGCCCCAAAAGCAAGTCAGGCATTTATAGGTTGTCTGCACTGCACGTGTTTGTTCTTAATTACTTGTCTAATTCTTCATCTCTCCTAGCCATTCCTCCAGCTTAGCTTCTCTATCAGCCTTGAATTCTTCATATTTCACAGCCAAGGAAATCAGATCATCGTCACACCCGCTTCTGTCAACTGGCACTTCTTGTGGCTCCTCAGCTATCTCACTTGACAATGGCAATTCAACTGCCTCAGCCTCAGGCATACCAGAAGAGATACTAGCACCTCTATCTGACAACGAGGGATCAAGATATGAAATTGATTTCTCATCTTTGATTTCTCTTGATTCTTCGGAGGATTCAACCTGAGGCCATTTCAAATTGCTAGCCTTGAGCTTTGCAGACTTTAAGACATTTGACAGATAACTAGCACCTTTATCACCATCTTGCTGTGGTGAACTTGATTTCCGACCCCAGGCAACTGGTCCCCAAGATCTTGTTCTCCCCAACCGAAAAGCTGAATCTGAGCTATTTATTAATCCTCTTTTTGGATGTTTGGCTGACATGATAGCTAGAGAATTTTTAATGTCTTTAATCATCTCATCAGCAATGGGACAGCCACATTCTCTCATTGACCTTATAATGGAAATAGAATCTTCTGAATCTTCTGTATGCAACGTCATCTCACGAGATCTCTCAGTGACATTGTTCTTGAGATTAATAAGGTTTGGTGCTGCATTCCGTGTATGTTTTTGAATGTAGAAAAGTCCCACAGAGGGTTCATTTGCCACATATTTTATCATCTCGGCCAAGCACTCACTTACCTCCACAAACCCATCCGCTGTAGAAAACTCCTGCATCTCCTTGAATGCAAATTGTTCTCCATCACTGATGGTATTAGAGGACAGAAGTGAGTTCCATTTTGTAGAAAGAGAGGTCCCGTCTCATACCAATCAGAGAAACTTTCAGATAAAATACAGATTTGTCATGGACTATTCATCAATAGCTTGTCACATAACCCACTTGTAATTCTTGTTTCAAAGGAGCAACAGTTTTCAAGCATGCAACAATGGATTTTTATTTAAAAGATAAGCCATAATAAATTAAAGCTGATCTTTGTTTACTCCTCTACTACTATATGCATGCATAATTTGAAAGTGCTACCTATCCAGTCCCTATAAGACATGAACACATTTAAAAGTCAAGTTCTGCTGAGGATGTTTTACAATTCAACCTGCTGTGATATTTGGATGGCATGGATACAGCGAGAATCACAAGAAGAATTGGACATGTGACTCAGAGGGTGAATCTAGTGTGCTTAAATTATTTTTTTTTTACCACTTAAATCAACGCCCCCACCCCCAAAAAATAAAAAAAAGTACACGTCTCAACTTCCAACAATTTTACAAATATGGCATTGATGAGTGTATTGAGGTGCCTATATGTAAATCTATGATTGGAAGGGCTCCAGACTTACTGAGATATTGCCAACTCTAATTCTAATTGGAACAGCTATGGTTGTTCCTACAGATATTGGTAACCACCTATAAAAGGTTAAGAATGTAGAAGATGCAAATTCGATGTTTCTTTCTACCATTTCAGGTTTTAAGGACCTTTCACATATGCAATAATAGTTATGTACCAGAGGCTGCTGATGAGCCAATGGATTTCAAGGAAAGCTTCTTGAGATTACAGTGGAAGAGGCATGAGACGAATAGTAATCAAAGGCCACTAATAGGGTAAATTGCAACTAATTTATTGCTATAACAATATAGTTACCAACCACTCAGTATTTCTCTGTTCAAGAATTTCTAGACCCTTCCCACTTCTTCCTATTTCCTTCTGATGATATACCAATTTAGACCAACCTCATAAAAAGGCTTTATCTTCCCTCTTAAATATGAGCAACACTATAATCTGAAGTAAAAGATGGATTCTTGAGTGTTTTCTAGGAAAAGCAGGAGTAAATTAATAGCTGCTCCTAATTGGATAATCAGATTCTCAGCCAGGAAACAGGCAATAATACCTTAAGCGATGACAAGCAAGCCTCTCTAGTATACCAGTACCCCCTCTGGGTACATAACAGAACTATAAGTGGGGAAAAGAGTAATATAAGGGAAACCTATGAAGATCACAGGATTGTAGTGATATCTTACTTGAACATAGATCATGCACCACAAATTACAATCTGATGTGCAAAACCTGCAAACTAATTGAAGAGAAGAGCTTAGATGGCATCAATCACAAAGAATTTCCTTCAGAACTTAAAATTGGTGATATAAAATTGATGTCAGGTTTTATGATGCAACACTAGTAGTTTCAGAAGAAAAAGGATAAGCATGAAGGCCAGCCCACTGACATTGGTTGTGCTACATGCTTTACAATGTCTAAACTGAAACGATGTTTCCTGATTGTATATCAAGAGAAACAATTACTGTGCCACATTTTAAAAATTGATTCTTTTGAAATTAATTATCTCAAATTACTTCTCAAGTACAAGCTAAACCTCCTTTCGAAAGAATTCTACAAAGCTGAAAACTTTCACAAGAAACATGGGCAATCCAGACAGGTCCTCTAGTTCTGCTAGTACATCTTATCCAAATCTCTCTTTATATCTGAATGAAACTGACAAATGTATACAAACATGATTATTTGCTAAAATTCCTAAACAGATGTTAAAAGCTACTTCATCAACCTTACATGGATTTCGAAGTTATTCACCGTAGGTATTCAGCACATTAAGAAGCCAATTACTTCCTCCCGAAACAATATGGTAAAGAACCAAATGCTGACCTCGAAAAAACAGTGAAAACACATTCTTGGAGAACAATAAAATCAAGGGCGAAATTCAGGAAATTTCAAGAAACTACTCAAAAAATACTACTTCGTCAATATATAATCGGAATACAAGAAAATCCCCCAACTGTCAAAAATCATTAGCTCATTCCTTCAATCAATTCAAAACATCAATCAAGAAATTACAGAGAACATTACAATCAGAATTAAGAAAAGCCCAATTGTCAAAATGCAATCTTTAGCTCATTCCTTCAAACAATTTAAACCACCAATCACGAAACTATAGAGAACCCATCTCCCAGCCGCTCTCGCCAACCTCAATTCAAGCAAGAAAGACAACAAAATCAGACAACTATTCTTTTAGAGGAACTAGACAAGAAAAAGAAGGAGAAGAGGGACGAATTACTAACCGATAGGCCTAGACGAAGAGCTGCATAGTATTTGGCAAGCTTTATCCAGAATTGGGTTAGACGAGCATGAGGTCTGCAGCAGCATTCGATTTAACCAGCTGACTTTTCTACCATTCTTTTACTAATTGTTTATTGTCAGCATTCATAAACTTTTGGGTTTGCTTTAATCAGGGGTTAACTGACGACAGACAATGACAAAAGGCCAAAGGGTCATTCAACTTTAATAATTATACATTCGTTGTTTTTTTTTTAAAGTTAAAACCACTAACTAAGTACTACGTCGTAATGACAGGTCGATACGATGTTGTTTTTTCCAACCTGAAAAAGACCGCCAATGAAAAAAAATAAAAGAAAATGATTGATTCAATGGCAAAACTAAGAAGCAAAAAATCAAAATTTAGGCAAATTGAATTTTTAAAATCCCAATATATCAAACTTAGCATATCTAAAATACCAACTTCTTAAAATCTAGTGTTGGAAGAGACTGAAACTTTAGTTATCAAATACCATTGAGGAGTTTTAAGAAGTTGATTTTACTTACCTTAATTTGATGGAAAAAAAAAAAAAAAACAGTTTCTGACCATTTTTTCCCATATTTTTAAAATACAATTTCACTGTAGTTCTCTTTTGAGTACACCTCCTACCAACTTAAACCCGTATATAAAAAAAATCAAGAAAAGAAATAGATAATGTTTAGTGAAAGGATAAAAGGAAACTAGAGAAAGAGCACTGATGAGATTATCTATCTATTCATTGATTCCTTCATGGCTTCTCGTCTGATCACCACCCATCGAAGCTTCTGCCACAAACTTGAGTTAAACTCTTGTAGACTATCATTTCTATCATCAAACCCGCATGTGAATTTTTGCATTCCAGCTTTTGTTTCATGTAGAGGTCCCTTTAGTTGTTTGAAGCTTAAGCACTGCCTCAAGCTTAGAGCATCATCTGAGGGTATGCATATATGATCTTCTTCTTTACTTCCGTTGAGAACATCGACTGCTTCTCTTAATTTTTGGCTGTTTATGAACTCTGATGTCCTAACTCTTAATGCTTAACAGGGCTTCCATCTGAGTTAGTAGAAGAAGACTCCAAATTTGTTCCTCTAAATGCTGAAGATCCTAGATATGGTCCACCTGTAAGTTCTGGTTAGTCCTTGCATACTAAGCAAATGTTATCTATTAAGGAAGAAAACAAGAAAAAGGTAACGTGAATGGATTTTCAATAGATGCTGTCTAATTTAAGGAATGCGTGTATTGACAAGAATCTATTAATGCAAGTCCAGATATATCGGAATAGCACTTCAATTGTCAGAAAAAAAAATAAAATGTTGCCACCGGTCATCCCTAGTAATTTTTTATTTAACACTACATTCGAGATATTTGATAATTAGTTTGAGTTACCTGTTGAGATTTTGTTCCTCCTAAATTGAACAATTCTATGACATAAGAACCAATTTTAAGTTTCTTAGATGGCCAAATGCACAGGATTTAGAACGTTGCGTTAATTTGGCTACTGCCTACAAGTTTATGCACTTGATATGGACTTTTCATGATTTCTCCACTAACGCTGTGATGTAAATTTGGACAAGTTACTGCATCAAGAAGCCTATAGATTTAGTTATACTAGTAATTTTAGCTAATAACACTTTGTGTCACAGGCATTATTGTTGCTGGGGTTTGATTTAGAGGAGGCAGTGAAGGTACTTTACGGTGGCATTTACGTCTTCTGATTGAGTTAAATAATTGGCTAGTTTTTGACGATGACATGCCAAATTTCCAACTTCAGTATTGTTTCTTCTTCTGGTTATGTTCTTTCATTTGTCGCCTCTTCAGTCAACTGCATCCATGTTTAACACTACACAAACTGCTCATGACTAGTGCTTACTGCTTTTCTGAGTTCTAGCATAGCTATGATCTTAGTCAGAAAAAAAAATGATTATTAGAAATGACTTATCAAGTAGAAGAGAACTAGCAACGATAGTTGTGCCGAAACTAGCATGCAGAAACAAAATCAAATGCATGTTTAAGATCAAGATTTCGTGACTGAAAATTGGGGGTTTCATCAGCTGGAAAGTATGTTCAAATTTTGTGATTTTGGCTTTCGTTTGATGGGGCAATTTATATGGGATATGAATTGAAAAGGATATATCCCTTAATGAGCACTATCAATGATATTTTAGCTATGAGACAATAAATTTAGCTGCACTCAATCTTGCACTACCTCCACTGGCTAATACTCTTCACGGAGGCTCCTTCTTGACAATGTACAGATAGTGTTGCAACTCTAGAAGCATATTGACCCAATGATCTTTATATGCAACAGTACCCATCCAATTTAATTCATCAATCCACCACGTGTTTGTGTGCGTGCAGATACAGCAACTTCTTAAGGAGTTAGATGGTGATTTCCTAGAGGTATCTCCATTGGTAGCTAGCTTCTCTCAACACTTCTCTTTCTTCTTTTTCCACATGCAAGTTAAGGAGATGAAGAGGTATTCAAAGTGGCTTTTGGTTGGTAGAAAGCTTTTGCAAACAGTTAAGAATTAATTTTTTTTCGAATAAAATCTTCAAATAATATAAGTCCTTTTCTAAGTCATTAGAGAATCCATTGAACTCAAATGACCATGTCATTCTGGGAAGAGGGGGGAAAAGAGATAAAAGGATATTATGTTTCAGATTCTATACATTCCTAAGGCTGTGTGAAGTCATTAGAGAATCCGTTGAACTCAGAAGACCATGGTCTGCCAAGTGTATTTCTGGCTTCTGCAAATGTTGGCGGGCTAGAGAAATGATTCTTCTTGATGCATGCCTGAGAAGTAATGGTTTTGGGTTAATTGAGGAAAGTTCATCTGCATTTCTGATTGTATATTTTGGTTGCAGGTCATTTTTTGTACTGAAGACATGATTACTTGCTCTCTGTGGGAGGCAATGAATACTAAGCAACCTAATTTGGATGCTGCAAAGGTTGGATTTTCTGCTCTTAAATGTCAAGTCTTCCTCCTTCTGCGACCGATTGAAGCTATGCCAGAAAGAAAGCTATTTCCATAAAAAATGATACTATATGGGGCTCGCATATATTTTTTGTCCACACAAGTCATTATCTTGGATGCTTGTTTTTATTGTCTTCAAGGACTGACGGGGAGGGGGAAGAAAACATATTCTGTGCATCTGAAAGTGGAAAGTTTAGGTGCCCTCTAATTCGTTCTAGAGTTGCCAACTTGACTAACAACAAATAGCAGTGGAATTGGGACTGAACTACAGACTGTAGTACCTTGATAAGAAGTTCTGATTGCAATGCAGATCAAAAGAATGATTGTGGCTGATGTTAAGTGAAGGATGTTTTTGAGTGCAATTCTATCCTCTAATTTGGCAACTGAAGAATCGTACTCTTAGATGCTGCATACTAGCTGGTCTTACAATCATGTAACAGAGAGTACATTAATATTGCATATTGTCCGGCGTCATAAGCATTTTGGTATACCCTGCAGATTGCAAAGTCACTTCCCCGAATTTGCTTCTTGTCTGGTCTCACAGGAGAGGAGATGATGATGTTTATTGATGCCTTTCCAGAAAGTGGTAATGACAGCAGCATCCTACTTTTCACCGTAATAGAAATCTTTGGTTGTACAAGTTAATTTCGTTACGGTCATTGTTAAAGCTAAATTATAAGCCCAAAAGGTATCTCGTGAAAATATGGCCTAGTTGTTTCTGGTACCATGAATTCCTTTTGTGTGCGTGTTGGTTTGTGCGCTATTATTGTCAAAGAAAATGGCTTGTTGAGCTAGGAATTTCATGGTACCGAAAGTCTACAAATAGCCAAGTTGACTAGTGTTGATATTATCCTATCCCAATCTCAATCTTCACCTACGGTAATTTAGGATGTATGCTTGATTCGGAAAAATTTTCCCCTCTACCACTGCGAAGCATCTGCTGAGCATTCTGCATTTTGCATGTCCGGTTCAAGTTTCACGTTAGTGGTGGTTCTTTCAGTTTTCTCTTCTAATTTCAAAGAAAGTACCCAGAAGCAAATTCCATCTGGTCCTGTTGTTCTGCATACAGCTTAAAAGACTCGTTCCAATATCTTCCATTTCCATCTGTGTAGGACTAGAACCGCCAGTTTTTGCTGCTCTTGTCCCGAACAGTGCTGATAAACCGATACAAGAGTTGATTGAAGAGATCATGGGGGACCATGAGATGATTGTAAGTTCAAACTTGAGTGTTCATGAATTCCAGATATCTTCATAACCTGCCTGTCGTTTTGTTCGTGACAGCTTCTTATTTATCTATGCAGGCATCCAGAAAATCGACTTAGATATGGATATTTGTTGGTGGATTCTCCGAAGTTTAAACATTAGTCGTACGGTATGGCCCCTGCAAGCTGAATGAAACTCACGAGCTTGTACCGGGAGAAGAGCAATATATAGATGACTATACATGAATTCTAAAATTTTATAGAGCACTGACATCTGTTATCTCCAGCTTAACCGATTTCACGTTATATACAGCACTGGCGGTCTACGACATTGAGCATGACTACTGCCGGTTAAAATCCACTGAAAAGCCTATCCTGACTGAAACGTGTACTTCAAATGGTTGCCTTGAAAGTTTAAGTCAAATCGTCTTGCAGGAATTGAGAGAACTAATCAGGCAACATATGCACTTTACCCAAAACTCTGCGTTGTTGAGATCATTTTTGTTGTGAGACGATGAAAATACAGATGGCATTAGCAAATTAGTCTAGAAGAATCGTGATGCACATTCCCCTGTAAGTAACATTAAGCTTGCGAACAAAGCGAGCATCATCCAATCTCTTGACAATATAGAGGGAGACAATTATGAGATACAAGTCTATAACATGAATTACAAGCTGCAACATAAAATGGTGCAAAAAACCACTCACTCAAAGTCAGATCTCATCATTAAATAAGATGCTAGCGATTTCAAGTATGCTCATACATCTCTCAGTAGTCGTATGATTCACGGATAAAAAATGTAATTTGCCAGAATCTCAATCAAGATCTTGATAGGCATGTGCAGATTGCCTTTGATGTAGTATAGTAAAAAAAACGAAGCCTTGAAGGCAGTTGCAAAGCCTACAGAAAACTTTTCTTGGAGCAGCCAACCAGCATGTCCAACCATATTCTACCTATAGCATGACAACTGATCAGAAGCCATTTCAAGCATCCAGAACATGAAGTATTCAATTCAAGAACTCCTCAAAATACAAGCAGAACGAAATAATTCAATGTAAACAGTGTATATTCACCCAAGCATGAGAGATCTCTAAAACTAACCAGAATTCTTGAACTTCCTCTGAAATCAACATAAGCAGGAATTTATTTAAATTACAAAACAAAGAATCTATGATAAATCATTTGTATCAACTGGAACCAAAAAGTTGCACAGTTAACAAAATTATAGCAAGAATCACTTTGGACAACTCAAATCAATAGCCATAGGAAGCCCAATAACAAACCTCAGTTATAGATTTCATGTGCTAGCATGCCTTATCCTTGACAGCAGGACTCACTTGAAGCAGTCTTATACACATTTCTACAAATTTGTACTACCTTACTAGCTAATACTTAAACTTGGAAGCGCTCACTCAAAACCCAAACTGAGCTGCATCAAGATTCATGGTGTTGTAAAACTAATCCCTTTACTACCTAGAAAGTCTTTTTCTCTTCCGACAGCATATGTCGTGAGAAAGTTCAAATTCAGCCATTTTAAACAACGATTAATCTCACTGCTCCAGAACAAACTATCGGCTTAAGTATCTGGAGCATCATGTGATCAGTGAAGACACCCAGCTTCACATGCCACATGATGAAAGGGCATTGTTTGAAGATTTCTGGTTTACACCATGTGGGATAACTTAAACGCATGTTAGGGTTCAGAATGAAACCATGGACAGTGAATTCACCCAAAAAATTAATTTACTAAAAACTACAGCCAATGAAGACCATAGTAAATCTTCTAGTAATCTTATAGTCCACAACTTCACATACAATCATTAGATGCAAGAATCAAGCATCCAAATAAGATTAATACTCTGCCTCAGCTAAAACTTATCTTATTTTATAGATGCAGAAATTGTTTCAGAGTTGAAACAATTTCAAAAACACATATGGTCATAAAGACTTCGAGAATTCTTCATTAAATGAAGCATAATTTTTGTCACATGCCTTATCACCTTATTTGCAGATAATCCTCTGTAGCGGTGATCTTGTCCTTTGTCAACTAAGCTTAATCTCAAATGGAGCTCCTGGTTCGGTTTATTATGCTCCTGCTTAGTTATATATCTATCAACTGCTTACATGTCTACGATATTATCATGAGTTAGAGAATCCATCCTTGTTAATATCTTATAGCTGCATTTGCATCTTCATCTGATTGGTCTGGTGCTTACTACACGAATTTAAAAAATCACTATACTTTGAGGAATAGCGCTAGATTCAAAGATAAGAAAGTCTTCTCAAAGGTTTAGATTCATTGGAACTTGGCACCTCCTTTAACCATTAGATTAAGCCTTTTTGCCACAGATCTCGGCTCCTCGAAAGCACTTTAGTTAACTCTTGCATATTAGTCAAGTCATTTTTGCATGATCAGAACACACATCACTTGTTTCATAGTCACTAAGATGTTTATAAGCGGCAAAATTATTCTTCATAATGACCATAAAGAAAATGAAATTTTAGCATGAAAAGAAGTTGACCAAGCCAGGATCACCACTATGAAGGTATCTTTGCAAAGAAGGTGAAAAGTTAGCTTTGATTATGAAAACATTTCAAATACAGATAAGGTGATAAGATTTTCAGAATTTGCTTCAACGAATTAAGCATTCTCAAAACCTTATCACTTTATCTGTATTTAGAATGGTCTCATATCCGAAGCCACTACTGTACTATAAAAAAGAGGAGTCTTAGCGGAATGAGGCAAAAGTCAAAAAAGCTCACTGTTTATCTTCTATCTTCCTCATGCAATAGAATCTTACACTCAATAGCTGTGGGTACAATATTGAAGTACAAGCTCATTTACCCTCAAAAAGCCTACTTTCTTTGTGTGTTCTTATCTAGAGGATGTTGTATGATGTCAAAAGCTACCAAGTTTTGGTGCCAATCTATTATTTATGTCAGTTTCAAGTAGGTATAAATGAAGACATGTCTCGAACTCGTTTAATAGAACACAAATATCATTCTAGACAACAACAACCATTCTGATCTTACCAATAACCAAGACTCCACCCCCGAAGCTATGATCGTTTACCGCGTCAAGTAAAGAAGGCACCTATATGTCACATTTAAGATCAAAAATTGCAAACTTGACAGACAAGCATCAGAAAAACCCAACGACAGATCAGCAGCAATCAACAAGCACAAATGTTTCCGCATAGAACAAACACCAAGACACATATAAACAAAATCAATTCTTTGATGACACATATATCACTGAGACAACAACATTATTCACAAATAAAACAAGCCAAAAATTTATACCTTTAGTTAACTTCCTCACAGCAGTAACCCAATTACAACAGTATAATTTACAAAATTCCAAGCTGATGCCACACCTCGCATTCATCATCCTCGTCACTCTCATCACTAAAATACCCTTTTCTCTTCTCCTTCTTCTTCTTCTTCTTCTTCTTCCTCACCTCCTCCTCCCCTCTCAACAACCTATCCTCTGCCCCCTTATCCACCACTGACGCCCAATTATCCGTTTCAAACAACGCCATTTCCTCCTCCTCCTCTTCCTCTTCCACTTCTCTTCTTCCCCAGCCTCCTCCACTACCCCCACCGTCTCTCCTTCCCTTCTTCGAAGGCGCCGGCCTTTCTCTAGGCCCCAACAAATTCTTTGGACACTCATACGACAGATGCCCTTCTTCGCCACACTCATAGCACCTACTCTTATCCTTGTACACTCTCTTCTTTATAAACTCCGGGGCCCGGCCGTTATCAGAAGCTATGGAAGCAGTTAGGGTTCTGCCGTTGAGGACTTTCTTGTCAATTCCCTTCACAGCTTTTATGGCATCGTCGCGAGACACGAAGAGGATAAATGCAACGCCTCGGCTTTGGCGGCTGTAGCGGTCTTTAAGGACGGTGACTTTGGCTACTTTTCCGAAGTTGGAGAAGATTGTGTGGAGATCGGAGTTTGTCAAGGAGTAGTCTAAGTTGCTCACGTAGACTGTTGATTTTGATGGAGCTAGGCCTCCGCTGCCGCTGCGCTTATTGGTGCTAGAGGAGGAAGAGGAGAGCTGATTAGGCGGTGGTGCCGTGGAGGAGTAGCGGTGGTAGAAGGTGTCGTCGTCGTCATCGTCGTCGATATGGGTTCTCTTTCTCGACATTTGCCTTTTTTTCCTCCGAACGGGGGAATATGCTAATATGCTGTTGCCTGTGTATTAAGTATTAACGATGTAGTTACGAGAAACCCAAAAGAGGGAAAAAAATTGAAAAGTCCTTCATACCACTATCTTTGCTAAAAACATCCCTCTACTCATTTTTATGAAGTTTAAGTCCTCCAACGTTTAAGTTATAACTTCAATAGAAATTAGGTCCTCCAACATATCCACAAAATTAGAAGAGGAGCTGTGATGTCATAGTCATAAATTGTAGCCTGGTGTTGGCAATATTAAACCAAGCTAGTTTAGTTAATGGCTAATATATTTTATTTGATTGATTGAATTAAGTTGTTTGCATGTTTTTTTTAGAATTTATGCTTACGATAACGTATCACTTTTTATATCGAATGGATTAGTTTATAATTTTTTTAGTTGATCCTAGAAAGTTTTTTAATCAATTGGATCGAGTTTGTTTACACTTCCTTAAGTCAACTTAAAAACTCTATATATGTGTAGACTCATAGTATATTACTACTAGTGAGTGTAGTGAGTCGTTGCCGAAGAAAGAGAGATTTTGTTATCTTAAAAAAATCTTCATTTATTTCTTGTGCAATTTCCTCTTGACCTTTTCTAACGGAAGTTAGAAATTCGGTTTTTATAAACCTAAATCCCAGAAGAAACCTCAAAAGTAGGCAACTCTTGAGGTCCTCCCAGGGACTTATAAACCCAAATCCAACCCCCCCCCCCAAGAACCAATGTGGGATGGCAACTCTTGTGCAATTTCCTCATTTTCTAATTTTTTTTCCTTGTGCCTGAAATATCTGCACCGTTCAGAATCATGTGGGCTAAGTTCCCAACATAAGGTCTGGACGTGCTTTATTTGCTTGTGGATTGGAAGGGGTAAATCAAAGGGAAGAGTAACATTTGGGAAAGGGGATTCAAACTCATTCCTGTTTCCAGTTTGGCAGAGCCTTACGATTGTATCAGGACTAAACCTAGTGTTAAGGCATGCTTTCATTTTGGTAAAATTATGCGTGCTTTTTGACATATTTTGCTTTTAGTGTTAGTAGCGCAGACCATAAGTGACTGTCAATCTGAATTACCAGAGTGGATACATTAATGAAAAGCCATCAACCTGTAGCGAGGGATCAGAAAATGTCCAAGAAGTGGTTCCACAAATATGTATAGCGTTGCCATCTAGATTCCAGGCATTAACTTTCCACAGCCGTAAAGAAGCCA